GAAAAGTCAGATTTTCATGATATGTCACCTTTAAATTGTTAATTTAAAATAACATTTATTCCAAAGTTTGACTAAAATCTAAACCAGGACTGTCATACTCCTCAGAGTTGAAGGAGAGCGTGGTCGATGGCAGAGACAGAAGTCACTGTGTCCGTGGAGGACATGGTGGAGGTGAAGAGCGCTGAGGAAGAGGATGCAGATCCTGACAACCAAAGCAAGACTCAGATGATCCTGCAGCTGCAGCCCATCACAGCTGGGTGACCACAACACAAACATAATAATAATAATAATGCATCAAATCTGTCATATTAAACACAAACTATTCTGGGAATAAGCGGGTGCAGCTTGATGTTATAGATGATGTTTCATGTTTGATAGGCTTGGAGATGAAAGCAGTGAGACGGATGCTGCAGTTGTGGCTGTGGAGACACAAGGTAACCATGTCCTAAAACTTAATAGTGGTGATTTTTCTCTGTATCATGACAGCAGGTTTTGCACAGCTCATGTGTTCTTTATAAAATGCAGCCTTGTAGTTTAAATCGTCTTTAATTCACATTATTAGCAGTAATCATTCTGTAGTTTCCTGCAAGCTGTAAATGCTGTCTGCTCAAATTTATCAGCTCTCTCCAAGCAGCGGATTACGCTGTCACTAAATACACCTTATGCAGTTTTGCCACAATAAACTCTTGTTGACGTGTGTGTGTTTGTTCAGATGAGGCGTCTGCTGAAGGAGAGGGTTTGGAGCTTGGTTATCCCATTACATGCGGCGAGAGTAAAGCCATCCTTCTAGTCAAGAAGTTTGTCTGCCCGGGAATCAACGTCAAATGTGTGAAGGTTGGTGTCGTGTAGAGCTTAACGCTGCAGATAACCGCTGGTAATGTGTTTAATCGGGCTTTCTCTGTTTCTCCGCAGTATGAGGATCAGTTGATTAGTCCGAAGCAGTTTGTGCACTTGTCGGGGAAAGCCACCTTGAAGGACTGGAAGCGAGCGATCCGGATGGGTGGCGTTATGCTCAGGTCTGCTTGCGCATATTGTTTTATTTTTTTTAATGCGCTTCAAAGGCACTCAAAATTGAGTTTTTCATGACCATTTTTATGAAAATTACACCGGCGCATGTGAAATGAGTAATTTTTGTTGCACTAAGCTGTTAGGTTAGTCTTTGCGTCTAAAAACGCGAGACGCAGTGCTCAGGAATGGTTTTATAAAAAATGCAGCGCAGAATGCCTCCTCTGCCATGTTGACGTCAAATGAAACAGTTGCCATGCCAATTTGCTACTGTAAATAAAAGCTTGCAACGCTTGCCCCGCCTCCGGGGGCTTCTGATTGGTCCACTGTTTTGGAACAGACATTGATGAGCAGTGTTGGGGGTAAAGCATTACAAGTAATGCGAGTTACGTAATCAGATTTTTTTTAAGTAACTAGCAAAGTAACACATTACTTTTTAATTTAGAAGGAAACATCTGAGTTACTCCAGTTACTTTTTTCCCCATGTATTGACTGACAGCTCTGGTGTTGCCATGGTGAGAGAAATCGGGAGTGAGTGCAGAGAGACGTCATGTGCGAACATGATGTTACTGTAGTTCTAGACTAAATATGAACATGTATTTATTCATCTCACTTGCACAAAAACAGATACAGTATTCCTCAGAATGAAGTAAAACAGTCAAATGCAAACTCAAAATATTATAAAAACCTGCAATACTTAAATATGTTAAATACAACAAATGTCATTTATGTATTTAATCCCATTTTATTAACCAATGTTTTGCTACTGACCTTTGATGATTCAATTCAACCGTACTTAGCCAATATTACACATTTGTGTTTCATTTTTGTTATTGCTGAAGAGTGTTGAACTTTCTTCTCCTGCGTCATATTCTTCATGCGATTCGTTTGAGCTGCGCCCTCTACTGTACAGATAAGAGTTTACATTTCCTTCAGCCTGAGGTGTATTCATTTCACTTTTGGTGTGAAAGGGCTTTTACAGTTGTAAAAGAAAAACTTTTTATATTAAAAACAAACAAGCAAGCCCTGCCCAGATTTAAAAAGTAATGCAAAAGTAACATAACACATTACTTCCCATAAAAAGTAACTAAGTAGTAATTAGTTACTTTTTTAGGGAGTAACGCAGTATTGTAATGCATTACTTTTAAAAGTAACTTTCCCCAAACACTGTTTAATTTCGCCCTTGAACTCTCGCAGAGCAATGGTTAACGTGACGCATATTAAAATTGTGATTGTTCTGATGGATCTGCAGAGGTGTAGGTGCTACACACAGACAAAAACAGCACAAGAGTTTACAGATTTTACTACATTTTACTCTTATTATTTTTCTGTACTCTCAGACAAAAAGGTACAAAAGCTGTTACTAGGGTATTACCTTTTCAAATACACGTTTGCACCTTATTTACTCCTTATTTAACTTAAAGGTGCTTATTAGTACCTAAAGGGTGCATAATAGTACCTTAATTGTACATATTAGTACCTTTTAAAATGGTACAATCACAGTGACAGCTTTTGTACCTGTTTTTCTCAGAGTGTATGGACTAGTAGTAGTAGTATACTTTTATTGTCCTCAAGAGCAAAATTGTTAGTAAACTAAGTTTATAAACACTGTCTGATGTCAGTCCAACTTTTGTTTTGGACTTTTGGGAGAACATTTTGGGTTCCGAAATTTGCAGTTTTCATATACAGTCGAGTGGCCACAATTATTAGAACTAGTATTTTCAGCAGCTAAAAAATGGTTTTAAGTCAGTTATTTCTAGATGCTTCAAGAAAGCAGCTTTTGCTCTATAGGTGCACTTGCACATAGTTTTTTAGGTAGCTTTGTTGGTAGGTTTCTTGTACAAATGAAAATCTCACTGGATTATTACAATTAATGGCAAAATGAATGTTTGGAAATGTAAACTGATATTTCCTACTGACACACTACAGCAAAAGATAGAAATAACTGACTTAAAACCATTTTTTTAGCTGGTGAAAATACTAGTGTTGTAATAATTTTGGCCACCACTGTATATAAAGCTCATTTGTTACACAAGATCAAGGAAAGGTACCCACTTTGACCCCTTTTGGATATTCAGTGAAAACATAAATTCTTCAGTGAGTGGTGGTCATAACCTCTGACAGCTCTGTGTGTGTCATGAAGGAAGATGATGGACTCGGGTCAGCTGGATTTCTATCAGCACAGCACTCTCTGCACAAACACCTGCCGCAGCACCAAGTTCGACCTGTTGATCAACAACACACGCTTCCCACCGGACGGCAGTGGGCTCAGCACACCCACCACAGCTCGGGGTCAGAACACACACGCACGCATGCACGCACACACACACACACACACTGAAACTGCTCTTTTAAGAGTTTCTAATGATCTTCTTTTAACTGTGGACTCTGGTTACTCTGCTGTTTTAGTCCTTTTGGATTTGACTGCGGCCTTTGATACGGTCAGCCACTCAATTATTTTATCTAGACTTGAACAGTATTGGTATTAAGGGCATAGCCCTTACATGGTTTCAGTCGTATTTGACAGACAGACACACACACACTCACTCACTCACATGCACACACACACACACACACACACACACACACACACACACACACACACACACACACTGACATAGTTAGGGCTTTTTACCTTAGTAAAAAAGTAATATATTTAAAATACATTTATTTCATACTAAGTATAGTTCAAATTTATTAACATATTTACTGACAGCTAACTCGAGACTTACGGATATAAATTTTTTTATTAAACTTTACTTGGCGTACTACTTGTGCACAATGCACTTTTCTTAATATTAAGACTAAAATGTGTTTTAATGTCACTTTTGATGAGGATTGTATGATCTTTGAATAATATCGGACTTTAAATGCGAAAAAAAAGTTTAAAAGTTTACCTGAAGTATGCTTGCAATAGTTTCACTTTAGCACAATAAAATATCTTAAATTGTACTTCAGCACTACTTCTGCACAATTACAGTGCATTAAGTACAAAATTAGTTGTTCCAGTTTAGCAGACTTTATCACATTGGAAACAAGTGATGGAAACACCAAATTTTTAACTAAAAACCCCGTAATTCGCAAAAAAGTTTTTACACTTGCTTGAGCTTGTTTTTGACTTAAGGGTTAATGCGAATAATGGGAGATGGAAATGTATTTGCCGAATAAATTCCTACATGCGCATTAAAAAAAGTCATGTGACTTTGTGCTCTGGGACGGCAAAACCTGATTAACCAGCAGACAGATCTCGTTCCACAGCATCTGAAATGTTATGTTCATTCTGAAATGCCTGAACAAAGTCTGTCGTCAAAGTATTGATGTATAGCCTAATTGCCTCCCAGAACTGTCTTATGCAACAGCGTTCCCAAACAGCAGCATCCGCCTCTGAAAGCAGTGACCCAATTTATTTCATTTTGTCTGCTCGCTCTAAGGTGCAAGTAAATTACTATATAGGAAAATTATAATATTCAGCGGCATCTCCTATTTTTCTTAGTGATTTATAGTGCCAGTTTATCAGGAAGTGACGATTTTGTTCTCTTTGACTCGTTGGATGGAAACGGTGCTTGTTCGCAAATGTTTTATGCGATATTTCAATTTTGCGCAACTTTGGATGGAAACCCGGCTAGTGACACAACTTTGACCAAATGACGGTTATTGCCAGTTAAATTCAAAATATTTAAATGAATAAATAAAAATGTAGGTAAAAATAATCTATGTATGTTTTCCACACAACTTTCAGTAAAAAAATAATTTGAATTGTTTTCCATTTAGATGTACCAATAATTTAGGGTACATTTGGAAAAATGCTTTCTCAATAAAACAGCTATTGGTTTCACTTGATATTAGTGCTGTCAAACGAGTGCTGTCAAACGATTAATCGCATCCAAAATAAAAGTTTTTGTTTACATAATATATGTGTGTGTACTGTGCATATTTATTATGTACATATAAATACACAAACATGCATGTATATATTTAAGAAAAATATGTTACGTTTCTATACAAAATATATTTATATATAATATAAATTATATGAATATAAATATATACATGTAAATATATGTAATTTTTTTCAAAATATATAGGTGTATGCATGTGTATTTATATATACATAATAAATATACACAGTACACACATATATTATGTAAACAAAAATGTTTATTTTGAATGCGATTAATCACGATTAATCGTTTGACAGCACTACTTGATATATTTTATCAGTGTAACTTATCTGCTAGTCACCAAGCTTAATCATTAAATACCATTTTGATATTACAAATAAAAAGATGCTTTCCCTGTTGGTGAGTTTGTTTACTGCGTTACAGACAAACTGTATAGATTGACAGGTAATTTGTTGATAATTTGGACATTTTGACTCATAATTTCAGTGGCAGGCCTTGTCTGGCCAACCGAATGTTAATTTCTTGACCAGATTAACCTCAGATTTTAATATTTATTTGAATTAAAATTATACAGATATTGCAAAACCATAACAATGTCCCCAACATTGTTGACAGGCAATTAATATACTCCTTAACAATAGGTCACATTGGAGATGAAATATAGAAAAAAAAATAAAAGAACATTTAACATAATGTGTTCAAAATGTCAGCTGCAGAAGAAAATGACATGATGACATGATGCTGGTCATATAGTTTTATGATAAACCATTTTTAGTTTTCAGGGGGATGTTTGGTTTGTAACAGTTGACAATTTTTTTTATGGATGTGTGTAAAAATCTATTTTTCTAAGGTGTTTAGATTGTAGAAATAAATTGAATATATAATTTATTTTTACAATATAAACTTCAGCATTTTTTATTCATTATTTTGAACTCAAGACTCATTAATTAAAAAACCAGACTTTGCAAAAAAAAAAAATGATTTAAGGGACAGACTGAAAAACGGTGCACATAATATGTGTGCAATTATAGTATGTATTCTCTCGATGTATAAAATATCTTAGAAAAGTTGTTATATAATCATCAATGGTACCCTAAATGATATAATGACCCTAATACATAGTGTCTGTATGTGTGTCCTGCAGGGCATGTTTCTGTGGGTAACGGAGGTCAGACGGCCACAGCAGAGGAGAAGAAAGAAGACGTGATCGGTACGGTGGAGTGGAGCACAGCTACGGTAGAAAGCCCAGAGAAAGGAGACTCGCCTGATATCTCAGGTAAACATTCAGACCTCACTCAGGACTCTCATGCGTTAATGAAGATGGCATCCACAGACGTGATGAGAGCTGTACTGTGTGTGTGACCCCAGATGAGACGCTGAGTTTCTGGAGGGGCATTGCTGAGGTGGGGCTGATGGGGGAGGTGGTGTCTAATATCCACTCAGAGCTGCTGAGTCTGCTGAGAGGAGTTCAGCTGCGCACGGATCAGAGCTCTCTACAGGACGCAGGTCAGTGCTTCATCTGTGACAGGTTTGTCCCGTGAAGTTCAGCTCCAGCCCTAATCAAAAACATCTGAACCAGATGCCAGTTACAGATTCACAAGATGCCAAATAGAGATTCATAGTATTTTGCAACAGATATACCTTTACATTTTTTCACAACCTTAAGAGACTTCATTAAAAGAACAAGTTTGTTACAGAAAACCTTGCGAACCAATCGCATTATAGCTAAGACATCATTGCATTACTGTCAGAATTACCACAACAATGATCAAAAGACCCATAAACTGAATCCTACCTGCTGCAAAACTGTCAGTGAGTTTTCATAGAAAACTCCAAAAATAATAAATAAATCCAAAATGAATTAGCAGGCAGGCTGCTGGTTCAATAAATGAAAAACAAGCACTTTATTCAGCAGTTAATTTAATATGAATAGGACCATCAAGACCTTTTGTAAATGAAATACAAAATATATACAGTAGTCAACATTTGAAGTGGATTAAAAAAGTTAATCAAAGTTGTCCTAAGACAAGAAAGCATTTTGGTTTTGGCAAAAGTTGACTACTGTG